ATGGCGCAAGCACAAAGAGGAAGAACAATTGTATGTTGCCTTTGTTCGTCCTGCTCATGTGCCTTCTACTTTTGCGGCTAGTACCACCATTACCTTGAGTAATGATTTTACTTCTAGCACTTCTATTACTAGCACCTCTACCTCTCTACCCTCCGATAGTCCAAATTATCCAACTTCAGATTCGGTCGTCTCTATACGCGACTTGCGACCGGACTTTGGTGATCCCTTTAATGATTCCCCACCCCCACCTGTCCCATCAGACATCCAAGCCCTCCTCGATCGGTTTCCAGAAGTCTTGGCCGAGCCACGTGGAGTCCCCACGCGACCGGTCCGACACACCATCGAGTTGGTCAAGGGTGCTGTTCCTCCAAAGGGTTGCGTGTACTGTATGGGACCCGGCGAGTTGGAGGAACTCCGGCGGCAGATCGATGAGATGATTGACAAAGGGTGGATCAAACCAAGTGAATCTGAATTTGGTGTTCCTGTGTTGTTTGTGCCAAAGAAAGGAGGCAAACTCCGCATGTGTATTGACTATCGCGGTCTAAACCGCATCACAAGAAAGAATGCTTACCCATTGCCTCGTATAGACGACTTGCTTGATGCCGCAAGCGGGTGCAAGGTCTTCTCCAAGATCGATCTCAAGTCTGGGTACCACCAGATTGAAGTCGATCCTGCGGACCAGCACAAGACTGCGTTCAAAACTCGCGACGGGGTTTATGAGTTTACCGTAATGCCCTTCGGTCTCACGAACGCACCAGCCACTTTCCAAAGCCTCATGGACAAGGTCCTCCGCGAACTGATTGGTCGGTTTGTGGTAGTGTAGCTGGACGATATCCTGATTTTCAGCAAGTCCATGGAGGAACACCTCAAGCATCTTGAGGAGGTACTTGCTGTCCTCAAGAAGACGCAGCTCCATCTCAACCTGGAGAAATCCGAGTTTGGTAGGGATAGCGTCATCTATCTTGGGCACCGGTTGTCTGCTGCAGGCCTAGAGCCTGAGGCAACCAAGATTGAGGTCATACGCGATTGGCCTCAGCCTGTGAACATTCGTGAATTGCATTCTTTTCTTGGTCTCGCGTCGTACTACCGGAAGTTTGTACCCCGTTTTTCTATCATTGCTCATCCATTGTCGCGACTAACCAGCAAGAATGTGTCTTATTCCTGGGATGCCGCGTGTACGGAAGCATTTCGAACTCTCAAGGAAGCCTTGGCAAGTTATCCGGTACTCCGCATTGCAGACCCCAAACTGACCTTCGTAGTTACTACGGATGCAAGTCAGTATGGGATCGGTGCGGTGCTGCAACAAGATGATGGCGACGGCCTGCGGCCACTGGAGTACTACAGCAAACGAATGCCCAGCGTAAAGGTAGCCACTTCCACCTACATGTGCGAGCTCTACGCTTTGCGCATGGCATTGGATCACTGGAAACAATACCTGTTGGGACGCCACTTCAAAGTGTTTTCGGATCATGAGACCTTGAAGTGGATCAAAATGCAGACTACTCTGTCCCCTACCTTGCTTCGCTGGTTTCATGAGATTGACATCTTCGACTTTGAACTCAGACACAAAAAGGGTTGTTACAATCGAGTCGCTGACGCATTGTCTCGCCACCCTGAGTACATGACTTGCCTTGTGAAATCCTACGACCTCCGGAAGAAACTGAAGGAGGAACTCGTAGAGCAGATCCAGAACTTAGTTCCATCCTTGAGCAGCTGCGGGCTGATTCTAGTAGTCAGCCTGATTTCCACGAGTATGGAGGACTGATTTTTCGCCGATACGGGAACCATGACCGATTGTGTGTACCCAACCATGAGCCTCTCCGCACACACTTTTTGGACTCGGCTCATGGCCGGAGCGGGCACTTCGGTATGGCTAAAATGTACGCTAATTTGCTGAGACAGTTTGATTGGCCTGGTATGAAAGGGACTGCTGAGAAATTTATAGCTGAATGTCAAGTCTTTCAACGAATCAAACCATGCAGACAAAAGCCCATGGGGCTACTCACACCCCTACCCATTCCTGATGGTCCCGGGGAATCCGTCTCCATCGATTTCACTGACATGGGTAAGGTAAGCAAGAACGGGTTTTCACAAGTCATGGTGATTGTTGACCAGTTTTCAAAGTTTCTCAATCTAATTCCTTTACCGCCTCACGCCCCAACAGATCTAGTGATTCGCGAATTCCAGCAGAAATACCTGTTGCAATTCGGAACCCCGAAGACTCTTGTGAGTGATCGGTACCCGCGTTTCATTAGCACTGAATGGAAGGAGTTCACGTCCCACCTAGGAATCAAACTAAGCATGACATCTGGCCGACACCCCGAAGCCAACGGTTTGGCTGAGGAGATCAACCAGACTGTATTCCAACTACTCCGTGCGTTGATCATTCCTGATCAGGAAACATGGGATGAGGAGCTGTATTCTGTCAAGGGGTTGTACAACAACTCCGTCCATTCTGCCATCGCCATGACACCTAACAGGCTGCATTACGGGTGGCAGATCCGTAATCCGTAATCCGCTCTACTACTTATTCCCTGAACAGCCAGCTGGTTTAACACCCGGCAGGCCCGGCTTCAGGGCTAAGTATGATCGCTTGCTCAAAGTTGTTGTTGCAGCCATGACCAAGCGACAGCATACCATGATTCACCATGCGAACAAGAAGCGCAAACCATCAGAGATTCAGGTAGGAAGTTATGTCTGGGTAAAGATGTCTGAATTCTCAGAGGAGGAGGGAGTCTCACGCAAACTCCTCCCACTCTACTACGGGCCTTGGGAAGTTTTGGATGTAATTGGGGAAGATCACTTTGGCCCTTCGTATGTTGTCGACGTGCCAGCTCACCTGCGCACGTATCCCGTGTTTCACGCATCTAAACTGAACCTCCATCATGACGCCGAGACATTCGATTACCGCGAAGATATGATCCCTCGCGCAATCAAGGGCGGGCATGAGATAGATCAAATCAAACAACATGTAGGTAAAGGGAGAAACAGACAGTACCAGGTGCATTTCATGTATCACCCGTTAGATGATCTCTACTGGATCTCCAAACAAGAACTGCTACCCAGCGCACCGCTCGTTGTTAAAGCTTACGAGCGACAGATCGCCGCTAACGCTACACCAAAGATCTCAGCAAGGCTCTCTGCAACAGAGTATTCCAGGAATCTCTTTGCCTTGCTCGCCTACGATGCGTTTACCGAGGACTCAGCATGAGTTACTCGCTCGAAGGGACCTCGCTCTCGAGGAGGGGGTAGTGTGATAACCGTCCAAACACGGACTGAAACACACAGCTGATTTCTGAGTTTTGCTCATAGACTGAATGCCCTACTGAGYTCCCCGCCTGCTAAGTCTGTGTGTGTGTGTGCTTGCTGGACTGCATGTCTGTCTGAGTGCTGGTTGGCTTGCGTGTGTGACCATGCCTGTCTGAGTGCTGGTTGGTATGAGTGTGTGTGTGTGTGGCCCACCAGGGCACTTGTTCGTTCGTCGGGCCCTCAGGGCCGGTACTTACCTGTGGCCGTGGCTTCAAAGGGTTGCAGCAGGGAAAAAGCACTCGAGTAGCGGGTAGGCCGGTACCGCACCCGGCAGGGGGGTAAATATGCAGGTACCGGAGGCCGAGCAGAAGAAGACAAAAAGTGGCATTTTTAGAGGCCGGTAGTGTAGGCT